TCAACATCTTTATTGAGTAATCATTATCTCTTCGATAACCGATTACTCAGCCAAATTATTTAAAATAAAAGAAACTATATGACTAGAGTCCTCTAGTCCTGACTTTTTTTTGATTTTTTAGAAAATGGCGAGTTTTGTACGAAACTACACCTATGGTTAACTTCTGTATACCCAATTCTAAACTCCTTGTAACTGATCTATACACTGTGTTATTCGTTGTGTTATGTATTTATGAAGGTACGTCTACTGATTTGCTAAAACAGTAGCCTTCCATAATAAAAAAAAAAAATGCCCCAAACTTAATAAAAACAATATGCTATTATTAGGAGGAAAGACAAAAGAATCCTTTAAATAATTAAATCCTATTTTTAATCCTTTTGAGAACGTTCGAAATTTTCCTTGAATATCTTGCTTTTTTTCGCCAGCGTAGAGACCAAAGATAAATATAGGAAATTTTAGCATCTTTATCAACAAATTTATTTGAAAATTCTTGCAAACATTACATAATATTTGAATTTCAATCAAATTTTTAGCACTAATTTACAAATGAATTTTATACATATGTTTTTTCTTAGAAAATCTGAGAATGAATATTTTTTGCATTAATTATTCAATTTAAAAAATTTTTTAGAAATTAAATCTTGTCAGAATTAATTTTTATATTAATTAAATACAGAAGTCGTTGGAGAATTTAAATCATAAATTTCTTTTGTAGCAAAATACCCCCCACGTACAGAAAATCTACTCTTAACTGTAAAATAAAAAAATGCAATAAAACTATGACAGTATTCAATTAGAAAATGTTTTTAATTTCTTTTTTATGAATAAGACATGAAGGACACTTGTCTTAAGAAAATAATTTGATAAATAATGAATTTTTACAAGAATTATTTTCATTTTTTAAAATTTTAATTAGAATAATTTATAAATTTTTAAATCTTTTAAATTTCTGCTTTACTCGACGCCCCCACACCCCGTTAGATCATAGTGTTATAAACCAAAAACCACATCTACTAATCATGAATAGAAAAGAAATCGTTAGGCATCAATGTTTTAAAAATAATTTTGAATTGTTTTTGTATGAATAGAAACGTGCCAATGTTTTAAGATGCGGATGTTCATACACGACATTATCAGAAAATAAGAGCGATTACTATAGTAAATATGAAGCCAAAGTATCTAAATTTCAACAGATTAAATTACCTAAATTTTTAAGATTAATGTGTACTGGAAAGTCATATAAAAAAAAGAAGCTCACGTTATATTTATTAAGTATTTTTTACAGATTTATCCACCGTAGAAAAACACTGGATAAACTTCCATCAACTGTCAGCAACTTAAAGAAATCGCTATCGGCTTGTTAAAAATGAAAAGTTTAAAGTTTCAGAAAAATATACTTTATTTTCGGAAGATTTTTTTTTAATAAAGAGAAGTACTTTCTGATGACAGTTGGCTAAAAATGGCGCGAAATTTGCGCAATTTCAAAATAAAAACTGTTTCCAATCAATCTGAATTAGTTATGTAATACCGCAAAGTATTTACTTATTGAAAATATTAAATTTAATCTATGAGCTTGAAATTAAAACTAAAATTAAAAATTCAAGAAAGATTTTTCATTTTTCAAAATTCATTTTAAACCTTAGTTATCGTTTCTTTTCTGTTATTTTTTTTTACCCAAATGAGTATATCATATATATTATTTTATAAATGGTACTGTGAAATACCATTTCTAAAAATCTATTTCATTACAGTATTACTAAATTTATCATTATCAAATTTAAATATTAATTTAAAATATTATAAATATATATTAGGTTGTCACACATGAAATGACGTATTTTTTGGTTGACTGATGAGCCTGTCGTGTAATGAAGTAACCACCTTAGTATATAAAATATCTTGACTTATTCGTGACTCTTTCATTCCATATAATTTTCTGTCAATATATTGTTACTCATAAGCCCAATGAAAATGATTACAATGAATCAATGTCGATTAATCTTACTTTATGAGTACAAACTGTGAAAAAGAACGATTTTTGCATCGAATCATTACATGCGATGAGAAATGGATACTCTTTGACAATAGTAAGAGAGTAGGCCAGTGGTTAGATGAAAGTGAATCACCAAAACAATATCCCAAAACTTCACTACACCCTAAAAGTTAATGGTTACTGTATGGTGGTCTTTCAAAGGGGTTATTTCTTATTCATTTTTGCCTCAAGGTAAAGCATAACAGCAACCTCATATTGTGGAGAAATTGAGTGTTTCACGAAATATTACATATTATTGGAATATTAAACATTAGTGGAAATATTAAATTTAATCTATTAGCTTGAAATTAAAACTAAAATTTTCAAGAATGATTTTTTAAATATTTTCAAGTATTATGATTTTGTTGTGGAATTATCTATATTTAAGCGAATGCAATTAACATAGCTGGAAATCGAACTTGGCTCTCAGATTCTACATTCCAAGCAGCTATCTATCACCATGACATGGACGCGTAATCGGCCAAGTCACCGTTGATCCGAAAATGCGTTAGGTGGTACGTTTGGGAAAAGTGTGAATTCATCATTTTCCCGGAAGCCAAGTGTTGAATATCAGGGCGACCTGGACAGACTGAACGTCCATGTATTGGTGATATAATGGATAGCTGCTTGGAATACGAAATCTGAGAGCCAAGTTCGAATTCCAGCTATGTTAATTTCATTCGCTTAAATATAGTTACTGCCACAATAGATTCGCAATTCCTAAAAATCTAAAAAAAAGAATCATTCTCGAAACTTCAGTCTTACATTCACTTTGGGACAAGTGCCCTTTAGAAAGGCGTGAATTCATTTTTCTCCACCAGCTATGGTTTAAGTAAATAGACAAAATTTTCTCTCTACACATGCGGTGTCAACCAGTCTATGTGAATAGAATTCTACACTATATCTGTCTATATTTCTGAGGTGAGGTATTATGTACACTGTTTACATTATTCGGACTATTGTCCTCATATTTGTCACCATGTTTATCACAACGTTTCGGCCGTTGTACGCTCCGGCCATCTTCAGGGGGTTGGAATGTCGAAATGAAAGTTTTATTTTGCTCACCGGGGCAGACTGTTCTAGTTCCACGTGCCATGACTAATGGATGTCAGTTATCTCCTGTTAATTCCCCTCTCAAATTTCTCCACTGCCTTAATCACACTCATTGGTTCCTGTCACAGGATCAAAGTAACTCCTTTATCCATGGCACAGTGGATAAAGGCTTTAGGTAAAACTCTTTAAAATTTCGATAAACCATCAACTTGTTAAAAATGTTTCTTCCATAATGAAACCTGCGTTTTATACACCGATGCTTATTTTAAGACGAGAAGTACATTTTGATGTTGTTAGTTCATGACAAGATTAAGCATGCATTTTTCCTCTATAACGTCACGAGCTTGCAGACGTGAGGGATCACGGCTCTCTACAGCTTCCTGGCTTTTGTTGTTCTCAGTAACTTTTGACTGGTTACACTCCTTACTTGCCCATGTGCTGCTATCAAATTTAATATTCTTCATTTATGTTTCATGACACTTCAGAAAGTCGGTTGATCATGGCTCTCCACAGCTTCCTATGTTTAGTTACTTTTAGTAACTTTTGACTGGTTACCATCCTTCGTTATCCATGTCTTGCCATCAAAATTATTTATTCTTCTTTCATGTCCTACGACACTTCAGGATGTGGATGCTCATGGCCCTCTACAGCTTCCTCTCTTGTTCCTGCCTTCTGGGCGTTTTGACCAGTTACCATCCTTCTTTGTCCATGTGCTTAAATCAAATTTATTTGTTCTTCTTTTATGCTCCATTTCATCTCAGGATGTGGGCGATCATGATTCTCCACAGCTTCCTATTTTTTTTTGTCTCCCTACTAACTATTAACTCTTTACCATCCCTCTTTGTCCATGTCCTACCATAAAATGTATTTATTCTTCTTTTATATTACAGAATATTAGTGATCATGGATCTCCACAGCTTCCTGTCATTTGTTACTCTCAGTAATTTTTAACACATTATGTTCCGTATTTATTCAAGTCCTGCCATACATTTTATTTATTATTTTTGAAATTCCCTATCACTTCAAAAAGAGGTTAATCATGTCTCTCCACAGCTTCCTGTCTTTTGGTGTCTTCAGTAAATTTTGACATGTTACCATTCTTCTTTGCCGCAGCACTATATTCATTTATTCTTTTACACTCTATGTCAGTTCAAAATGTGGGTTATCATGGCTCTCCACAGCTTCCTGTCGTTTGTTAACTTAAGCAAATTTAACTGTTTACCATCCTCCTTTGTACTTGTTCTTTCTTACGTTCATTTATTCTTCTTTTATATTTCATGTCAGTTCAGAATATTGGAGATCGTGGCGCTCCACATCTTCCTGTCTTTTCTTGTCTTCAGTAAGATTCGTTACCATCCTTCTTAGTGCTTGTTTTGCCTTACACTCGTTTATTCCTATTTTATGTGGCATGTACAATTTGGTTGGTAGCTTTCATGGCTCTCAACAACGTCCTTTTCATTCGACGCTTTAGCATCATTCATTGTCTTTGTACCCTCATCCATTGAAACAAACTCGTTAAATTACTTTTTCTTCCGTTTCTCGTGCATTCACTATATTAACTGAGTATTAAAATCTCTAAGCCTTCTTTCCTCGGCGTTTCCGAGATATTTCAAGCTTCATCTTCTTATTGTAAATATACTTCTCTTTGTAGTCCCTTTTTTCATTAAAACTTCCTATTTTCTCGTATACACTGTTCATGTTATTCTCAGAATTCGTCCTAAAGAATAATGTCTTTTCTTAACTTCTTTTCTCATATAGGAAATTAGATATTATAATTCTGCGAATTTGTTTATTGTTTCTGTTAGCATTTTCCTCTGTCTTAATACTTCGTTTAGTTTCTAGAAGGCATCTTCGCCTAGTCTTGTGTAGGGTTGATGAAGAAGGAGAAAATAGATATAAAAGGTTCAGAGTTTGATTAGACAAGAGATTCTCTGTGATCATCGCACTGGTTGCATACGTAGAAGAAGAAGAAGGAGAAGAAGGAAGAAGAAGGAAAAGAAGAAGAAGTACAAGAAGAAGGAGAAGAAAAGGAAGAAGAAGAAGAAGGAAGAAGAAGAAGAAGGAAGAAGAAGTAGAAGAAGAAGGAGAAGAAAAGAAAGAAGAAGAAGAAGGAAGAAGAAGGAGAAGGAAGAAGAAGTAGAAGAAGGAGAAGAAAAGGAAGAAGAAAAGGAAGAAGAAAAGGAAGAAGAAAAGGAAGAAGAAAAAGAAGAACAACAACAACAAGAAAGAAGAAAAAAAAGAAAAAAGAAGAAGGAGAAAGAATAAAGAGGGAAGGCGAAGAAGAAGAAGAAGGAGAATAAAAAGAAGAAGGAGAAGAAGAAGGAGAAGGAAAGGAAGAAGAAGAAGAAAAAGAAGAAGAAAAGGAAGAAGAAAAGGAAGAAGAAGAAGCAAAAAGAAGAAGAAAAAGAACATCAACAACAAGAAAGATGAAGAATAAAAAAGAAGAAAAATGAAGAAGGAGAAAGAAGAAGAAGAAGAAGAAGAAGAAGAAGAAGAAGGAAGAAGAAGGAAGGCGAAAAAGAAGAAGATGAAGAAGAGGAAGAAGAAAAAGAAGAAAGAGATGAAGGAGAAGAAAAGGAAGAAGAAGAAAAAAAGTAGAAGAAGAAGAATAAAAGAAAAAAGAAGAAGAAGAAAGAAGAAAAAGAACAACAAGAAAGATGAAGAAGAAAAAAGAAGAAAAATGAAGAAGGAGAAAGAAGAAGAAGAAGAAGGAAGGCGAAAAAGAAGAAGAAGAAGAGAAAGAAGAAGAAGAAGAAGAGAAAGAAGAAGAAAAAGAAGAAAAAATAGAAGAAGAAAAGAAAGAAGAAGAAAAAGAAGAAAAGGAAGAAGAAGAAGAAGAACAACAACAAGAAAGATGAAGAATAAAAAAGAAGAAAAATGAAGAAGAAGAAAGAAGAAGAAGAAAAAGAAAAGAAGAAGAAGGAAAGCGAAAAAGAAGAAGAAGAAGAAGAAAAGAGAAGAATAAAGAAGATGGACGAAAAGAAGAAGCAAGAAGAAATAAAGAAGAAGCAGAAAAAAAGTGAAGAAAAAATAAGAAAGGAAAAGAAGAAGACAACTAAAGAAGAAAATAGAAAAGAAGTAGAAAGTAGAATAATAAAAAAGTACAAAGAAGAAGAAGAAGGAAGAATTAGAAGGAAAAAAAGAACAAGGACGTCAAGAAGAAAATAGAAAAAGGAGGAAAAGAAGAAGAATTGTGAAGAAGAAGAAGAAGAAGAAGAAAAGACGATAAGTAGAAGGGGAAAAGAGTAAAGAAGAAGTAAAGAGGAAGAAGAGAAAGAAGAGAAGAAGGACAAGAAGAAGAAAGATGAGAAGAAGGATAAGATGAAGAAGTAGAAAAAATAGTAGAAGAAAAAAGAGACGAAGAAAGAGAAGTAAAAGAAATAATGCTTTGAAGAAATTATAGCGTGTCTCTAAAATAGATCATTAGTAATAGCAGTTATTTTCGAATATGAAAGTTGTCCTTTGTTTTGATTTTAACTAATTAAATCCCATTGGAAGCTAAGCGATAATTCCAATGTGAATCTATAGCAGACAACATAAAAGGTTGGAAAATAAAAACCGCCCGGTATAATAAATTTTTGTGAGCGTTCCAAAACAAACAAAAAAAAAAAACGTTTCTTTGTGTTTTTGTCTTTACTTCTAAATGTTGCACTTTTCCAAATTCGTCATGACAATGACTGTTTTTCTGCAAGAGTCGTCTTCTTTTTTTTTTTAATTTAACTGTCCTTGGACTCAACGCCGACCATTCTTTCTTCGAAATAACAATTAAGTCTGTGAGTCAGTTCTGGGATTATAAATTCAGGCGGGATTTTACGCTTAGCATTTACTTGCTGTCAAAGAGTTCCAGCTGAAACTTCGTCCCTCTCTCTGAGATTTTTAGAACTTGAACTATGCCTAACTACACTCTGTACTACTTCAATGGCCGCGGACGTGCCGAGATCCTGCGTATGTTGTTCGCCGCTGCCGGCGTCAAATACATGGACAAGAGGTTCGAGTTCAACGAATGGGATCGTTACAGGAAAGGTAAATATTGTTTTATTTTATTATTTATCAGTTTTGTTATATTTTTAATCAATTTACCGGCGTGGATCCTAACACTCATTGTAATCAAAGACATTCGTCAGGTAGTTGAAGAGCTGTTATCCATCAGGTGTTTGTTTTACCTAAAGTTTATCTGTATTCTATGTGTAATCATGTTTGAACTCTTTTAGGTGGCCAGGTTTGGAATTTACTCTTTTCTTCTTCCTTGTCTGATTGTCAACCATATACATCATAAAGATTTCTAGACCTACAATTTCAAAAACATTCCGATTTCTTATTGAATTTGAAGGTCTGATGAAGTGGATCGTGATTACGATTCCATTGTAATAAATTATAACCATGGAATATTAGTGTTTGAGCCTTTTTATATATATATATATATATATATATATATATATATATATATATATATATATATATGTATGTATGAAGAAATATAGTCTTAAGATGTGCTATATTTATGGGATAAAGTGCTCAATATCAGAGATAGAGCGTGTGTAAATATAAAAGTGAACATAGAAGTCAACACTTATATATATATATATATATATATATATATATATATATATATATATATATATATAAAATCGATTCTCCCCGTCGGGTTCGACGTATGAGGATGAAGCAGATCAGTTTCAGAAACTGACAGCCCGACACCGGCACACATGAGATTCGATTATAGTGGTGAAGGGTTCGTGCAGGACCATCCACACTTTTTGAAGGGTCGAATACAGGGACCTGGTGCACTACGAATTCGCTTGAGGATGAAATGGAACTAATGTCTTAAATTTAATCACAAAATTAAATTCGAGGCTTTTAGCTTCAATTTTTGAAACATGGTTAGAACTGTGTAGCGGAAAAAACATATTTTAAATCAATTAATTTATAATATTAATGCTCTGTAAATTTACATCGAGCACTATTTTGTAAAAATAAAAATATCTATAAGAACACCGGATTATATATCTTACTGTTCTTTTTTTTTATTTATATACATACATATATATATATATATATATATATATATATATATATATATATATATATATATATATATATATATATATATTTTAAGACATTTTTATGTTTATAAATTCTTTTTTTTTTTTAACGATACTTTATTTAAGTAAATGCTCTGTTTATAATAAACAGTATTAACAACATTTACCAGCCTGAACCTTTACCTCTTAACGTTTGGCTACAGAGGAGCGTTCGGTTAGCAAGGTCGATTTTACTGTTTTTAAACTACAATCTTCCATGATTCTCTCACGTACATTCATATCTGCTCAATGCATATAGAAATGTAAACAAATGACGTCACACATTATGAAATGGACAACGTCCGATAATTATTTCAAGACATGTTTATACATTCTTTTTTTTATAGATACAAATATTTAAGTAAATGCCATGTTTATAATAAACAGCATTAAACAACATTTGCCGGCCTGAATGTCTGAGAAATTGGCATAAAAAATATGCATCCTCCGACAAGAATCGAAACTTTATCCTATACGGATCCGTCATATAGCCTGACGTGCTTTTACCGATTTCGCCATAGAGGGCGTTCGATTAGAAAGGTCGATTTTATATATCGATTTCATATATATATATATATATATATATATATATATATATATATATATATATATATAGATAGATAGATTGATTTACAAGCACAATATAATTTTCTCTTTTACTGTAGAAGTTGTCAAAGCGTTCTATTTATTCTTATTTATTATTTTTTAGATATGCCCTGCATGTGCGTCCCTGTCTTGGAGATGGACGGTGGCATGAGGATGCCTGAGACCATGGCCATTGCCAGGTACTTGGCCAGGGAATATGGTAAGTACACTGTATTCAGAAGTGATTTGTTAATTATTAATAGTTTATTCATTAACGTATTTTGTTGAAACCAAGAATTTAAAAAATATTCATTAATTAACACTTCAGAAATCAACACTTATATATACATATATATATATAAATATATATATATATATATATATAGGATTGGTGTATACAGAATAAATTCCAGTAACCAACAAATACTATTCTTAAAAGAAATGCTCAATACGGTGTAGAGCAAATATAATCATTTATTCGAAAATTATAACATAAATATATTATAAAATCACTACAAAAATAGCCATTTTGTTTCAACACTTCTCATCTAGTGATCGGGTTGAATGGAAAATATTCTATATTCAACACCATCACTTAATAGGACTGATTTTATAACATACTTATGTTATAATTTTCGAATAAATAATTATATATATATATATATTTAATTAATTCATCGAGTCTGATAGAAACCTCAACAGAATGCAGAAAGCACTGGACGGCCGTTTCGTCCTATATTTGGGACTCATCAGCAGTGCGCATCCACTACCGAGAATTGAAACCCTGACAGTTAGGTTGTCAAGCGAACATCATACCAACTGTTCCATATGGGCCTCGGTAACGAAGAGATTGCAAACCAGACTCAACTTAGCGCCGCTCACATATTCCGTGGCGGAAATCAACTGAGTTCTCTGTAACCATAGGACTGTGCCACCTGGAGCCACGACTACTCTCACCAAGCCGCTACCAACTGGAGCATTAGAAGCCGGTCCAAGCGATGATAAACACACATAGTAATGGCCATATATATATATATATATATATATATATGGGTCATGTGGTGCAGTCCTCGGACTTCATTTTGAACGTCCCCCATTAAACCGACCTTGAGTCAAATTTACTGTTAATGAGGCATCATCATCATCATCATCATCCCTTTGACATTTCTAATCGCAGGGCGGTCCCGAATACAGAATCTTCACTCTTTTCGACAACGGTCTATTAAGAGCAGCCATCAGCAATTCTACTACAGTCGTACCTGTCCATTGTTTGACATTGTCCAGCATGTTTCTTCTTTGGCGTCCTCTCAAACGTCCACTGGCACAGGTTCTCGTAATGAGTTTTCTCCGTTTGCTTTTTTGTTCCCAATACAAAATGTCCGGGAGTTTTCTCCTGCATTCATTTCCAAACGCTTCGATCCTTCTCTCTGTAGCTGCCAACAGTGTCCACGTTTCACATCCATATAGGAGAATATAGCGAATTGTAGTCTTTACTATGTTTGAAAGCTGATCTTGACCCTCCATATTCTTGGCAGTTTGGCCATCACGCCATTGGCATCGTAAGGGCAGCGGAAAAATAAAATGATACACTTTGATGTCGAAATGACGTAATAGGTGACAGTTTTGAACTAACCAATGAAAATCATTGTGGGCGTGGTATATCATTTTGACTTTGATTCAAAAATGTTACAGTTTGATGAATAATAGCTTTTATTTCTTAACATTTTTTACAATGTCAAGGCATTGTGAGTTCGAACCCGTGCAGAGAGATTCAGCAAAATTAGTATCATTGCCTAGTTAGGCCGTCAGTAATAAAGAATGGGAATCTTTAAGGAAGTGGATGAAAAAAAATAAAGGGCTCATTTTCCCTCTTTTTTTAAAGAGTGCCAGCCATTTTTAATGACTCAAGGCTAGGTTTAAAGCCAAGTGGAAAGGGGCTAATCTAAATTTATTCTTTATGTTTTTCCTACAATTATTTTCACTGGTACCCCAACTGCATGAATTTAAGCGTGCTACTAGGTTGGCATTTCGGTTCCACCCGGTCACTGTCGAAATAGTTCAATGTAACCGCCTGTTTAACTCCTAAAGCTTCTTCTCTCGCAATACCTGTGGAACTCCCTTTCTTCTGCTTGCTTCCCTGATAGTTATAATCTTCAAATATTCAAATGTAATGTCAATCGACATCTTCTGATGCCTTGATCCTGATCCCCATCTTTCTCTTTATCTTTTCCTCAAACACCCCTCTTTAGTCTTGCTCTCACTATCTGTAACCCTTTGCGTGTTAGTAGCACTCCCGCCTTGATTGGGGTGAAATGCTTAAAAAAAATTATTTCTAATTTCAGGTATGTAATACAGACATAGGTCTATATATTTATTTCGCTAACGTAAGAATTTAAATACTTTCAACACATTCAAATTATATTAATTATTATTTAGCTAACTTTAAAATTATATTTTTAATATCTGTTGTGGATTCCGGGATGAAATCCGGTACCAATAAATAACAAACGCCAAGAAGGAATATAGAAAAATAAATGTATTGAGATAATAATACAAACTGGTAATGCAGGTTAGTAGTTCCAGGAGTGCGGGTTAGTAGCAAAACACACACACACACACACACATATATATATATATATATATATATATATATATATATATATATATATATATACTGTCTTTGATATCGACGTATCACTGTATGACTTCTTACTGAGTCTACGTGCTTGCTCACTGTGAATCTTGCTCGTTCCTTGTTCTACTCGTTCTTCTGACTTTCGTACTTAGATCTCGTTCGCTCTCTCCGTGTATTCACTAGCAGTAATATATGTATACCCTGGGTGAGTCCATTTGTGTCAAAAGGGGAGAACCCCTCAACAATATCACAGCATTTGTTGGTGGCAGCTAATACTAAGAAAAGAAAAATAACAGAAGAAAAGAAAAAAAATTAATATTTTATGTGGACAGAAAAATATTTCATAATTGAAACATGCAGTGATATTTTCTGCCTCGTTTGTCACGATTGCCGGTTTGGTTTGGTTTGTTTAACTGCATATCAACCTCAATGGGTTATTTTAATTATGTAAATCAGTAACATTTGAACAGAAGGTCTTTAATTCTCGTCGGCTGAATTCAACAAATCTTGTCTGGATGGTTTCTCAATATGAAAATGGGGGTGGAACTGTTTAATACCCAGGCGATACCGCACATATGATTTGATTATGATGCTGAAGAATCTCTCAAATGAGTAGCCAAGCATGGCTGAAAAACGAGAGTATGAAGGAAACTTTTGTGATGTCAATGAACACTCGTTGCCTCTTTGGTAAATTCCAAAGAATACTCGTTGTCACTTTTGTGATACTCATTGTAGTAGAGACTTTGTAATTGCAGATGTAGCTATAGTACGCCGTTGAACAATGCTGGTGTTAGACCCCTTCGAATAGCACTCGCA